TTATTACTGATATTAAGCAATTTGATTATGATGTTTCTTAGTGCAATTTTTTTTTTTTTTTTGGTTTTGGTTCTTTGGAGTTTTTTGAGCTTCTTGAATCTGTGAGTTTATAATATTAATCAAATTTAGACATTTTTGGCCATTATTTTTCAAAAAATTTTTTTCTATGCCTTCCTCACTCTTTCTTTAGAGACTCCAATTACATATGTATTAGACCACTTGAAATTGTCCTACTCGTTGATACTCTGGTCATTTCTTTTTTAGTGTTTTTTTCTCTGTATCATTTTGGATAGTTTTATTACTACTTCTTCAGTTGCACTAATCATTTACTGTTCAGTGTCTAATCTGCTATCAATCCAATCCAGTATATTTTTCTTTTCATACATTGTAGTTTTCATGTCTAGAAGCTCAATTTGGTCTTTCTTTGGTAGATTCCGTTTCTCTTAACATGCTCATCTTTTTCTTCATGTTCTTGAACATATACAATATGATTATAATAACTGCTTTAATATCCTTTTGTACTCCCTCCCCCCAGTCTTTTAAATGGGCTGGAAGCAAGCCTACCCAACTTTTTCTACTAATTGGATCATATGTACTATTCTTGTGTCTGCTTCTATTGAGTTATCTTATTTCTTGTAATGTGTCCTATTTTTCTGCTTTTTTGTATTCCCAGTAACTTATTATTTGTAAGACATTTCAATTTTAGCTTGTTGAGTGCTGGATATTTTTGTATTCCTATAAATATTCTTGAACTTTGTTTTCGACAGGGTTACTTTGAAGTGGTTGATCTTTTTGAGACTTCTTTTAAGCTTTTTCGGTTAGGAGCAGAATATGCTTTGTCTAAAGCTTTTTTTTTTTTTTCTCTCAATACTGAGACAATATCCTTCTGAGTAGTCCACCTGATGCCCTATGAGTTACAAGGCTTTTCACTCTGCCTGGTAGGAGCACTAATTATACCCAGCCCTGTGTGAGCTCTGAGGATTGTTCCCTCTAATCATTTCATCTGCTTCTTTCCTGACCTTGAGTAGTTCCATTGCACACATGTGCTGATCAGTATTCAGCTGGAGTTTTGAGAGGACCCTCACAGATTTTAAGAACTTTTCATCTTTGTCGCTCTCTTCTCTCATACCTGCCCTGAAAACTTGAGCTGCCTTTGCCTTTCCAGACTCCTAGCTTCATCTCCTCAACTCAGAGAGACTACTGGACTCTGAATGGTCCTCCTCTCTGTGCAGCTGCCTGGAAACTTTCTCAAGGCAGTAAGCTAGAGTAATCATTTGTTCCTCCTTTCTTAACCATCCCTGTCCTGCAGTGCTTGACAGCCAAAGTCTGAAAACCTTTTTATTTTTTAATACATTTTTGTACATTCTTTTTAGTAATTTTACATGGTAGGGTAAATCTGATCCATGATACTCCATGTTATCCAGAAGTAGAACTCAGGCTTTTAGTTTTATAATTATTGCAGTTGAATTTCTGCAAAACTTTGTTTACATGTTCATTTAACTGTGTTAACTTTTTTCCTCTCTCTCTCTCTCTTTTTTTTTTACAATTCAAGCTGTATTTTAAAAATCAAAGGTATGTTTATTTTACAATTGTTGTTGTTAGGTGCTGTCAAGTCAATTCTGCCTCCTAGCAACCCGGTGTAACAGAGAAGAACTACCCTATAGGGTTTACTAGGCTGTAATCCTTATGGGAGCAGATCACCAGGTCTTTCTCCCACAAAGCCACTGGGTGGGTTCAAACTGTCAGCCTTTCGGTTAGCAGCCTAGTACTTAAACATTGCACCACCAGGTCTCCTTATTTTACAATTAGACCACTAAAAATATCTAATATTAAATGTTGTGATTTAAACTTAATTCTCTTCATAGCTTAGAAATTCTATTTTCTTATAGGAACATTCAGATTATCAAGTTCATTTTATAAAGTTTTAAGGGTATGTTTTCCTATATATATTACTTGGTCATTTAATTGTTGGTCCATTTGTGAGCTTTGTTTCATTCTACAATTAGGGAACAGCAGTTCAGAGGTATAGTAACACATTCTTTTTTTATTCTAGGATAAAATTATTTTATTATAGGTGTTAAGAATGTTGACTTCATCTAAATTCAAATGTTCAAACATAGTAGTAATCTCATTATTTAGAAAATTGTTTTAATGTCAATGTCCTTTCTTTTAATGTGTTTTTAAAAAATTCTCTTACAGATCAGGAATCTGATTTTGGATGGATCTTCACAGTTAGTCCAAGAAGGTCTCAAAAGTGGTTTTCTTTATCCACTTTCTGAAAAACAGGACGAGTGTAGTGAGCACATTACTTTACCACTTGATACTTGCAGTTTATCAGAATTATGTGAAATGGCAAAGCATTTGCCTTCTCTGTATGAAACGGAACTTCAAATATTACGGTTGATGGAAGATGATATGTCTGTTACAGAGCAGGATTTATTTTCACGGGTTGTTGAAAACAGCTCTAGCTTCACAAAAATGATTACTTTAATGGGACAGAAATACTTGGTGCCACCAAGAAGTAGTTTTCTTTTGTCTGACATTTCTTGTATGCAACCACTTCTGAATTGTAAGTAATTATTTTGTTTATTGTTAGATAATTTTTCTGCAGTCTCAAAAGTCAAGACCTAGTCCAAATTTTGAATAAGGCTCAACATTTTATGAGGGTAGAGGAAACACTTTTCCCAGTTCCATTTTTCCTTTAAATTTTATTTTAGTATTAACTTTTGCTTTCTGTTTTTTAAATTCCTACCTTGAACAAAGGATCAAAAGTAAATAGTCCCCAGAAGAGCAAATATAGATACTGCTCTATAGTTAGGAATTCATGATACAAACTATGTTTAGCCAAATTACTTAACTCTTTTTCATAGCAAAGTTGAAATACCTCAGACATGAATATTAATTCCCAAATCATTCTCTTTTTTTTAAGTTAAATTGTAAGCTGATTTTCAAGTTTATTGTCTAAAATTTCTTGAAACATTTTCTTACACAAACTTAAAGAATTTAAATACTGAAGTCTACAGCCACACAGACCTGGTTTGAATTTAGATTCTGAAGCTTAATTGACTGTGTCTTTTACTATTCACAAAATAGTGGCTATTTACTTCTCAAAACTGAGCCTGGGTTTCCTTATCTGTAATATTTATATGATAGTACCTATTTCTAAGGATCATTTTGAGGATTAAATAGGATAATTTGTATCTAGTGCTTAGCTCAGTGATTTATGTATTTTTAGTAAATTATAAGTATTATAATATTCTTGGGGATGAAGTGGGTAAGAGGTGTATTGATCAAGTTGAATTTAATTTACTGCATGTTGTTATTTGGACATTTTGTAACAAAGATTTAAACTATCAAGCAGCTACAACAAAGCTTACTAATGAAAAACTTCTTTTAATTGCTATCAAGCCATCTTACTCATGGGTGGTTATCCATGTACCAATGTCATAAACTTTTCAGAGGCAAATGACAGGATAACAAATTAATGAGAAATTCATGCCATATGTTTGAACATTTTCTTCATTTCTCTTTGATCTTTGTTACTCTAATATTTGAAAATCTTATTTTAATTGCATTTTTGATTACTTATGAGATTATGCATTTACTAAAATATATCTATGTTTATAAAAGGGGAAGAAGGGACAGCTGTTTCTTCAGTAAAATTCCAATGAATAAATGTGGATAGAATGATGGATGTAGTAAATTTCCATTTGGAAACCATCATAGTAATAATTGTTGTAGGCAGGTATCCTCAGTTGATGTCAAAATAGTGTCTGAAAATGAGACACAGAATATTGGCTTAGTCTGAAAGTATTTTCCCACAAGATACTTCTTAGTGATAAAGAGAAAATAGTAAATTTTTACTGTATCAACCTGACAGACAACAGTATAACCAAGTAACCAAATGTAACATTACCAATTACAAGACATATTGGCAGCAGATACTTCCTGGTATGATATGCTCTGATAAGGGCACAATAGTACTTCTGTGGTACTGTTGCCAAAAATGGACAATCTAAATTTGATCATGAGGAAGCATCAAACCCAAATTGAGGGACAGTCTATAAAATAGCTTTTAAAAGTGTCAGGGTCATGAAGGTCAAAGAAGAACTGAGGAACTTTCCCAGATTGGAGGAGATTTAGGAGACATGGCAACTAAATGCAATGTGTGATCCTGGTTTAGATCTTGGACCACAAAAAAGGACATTAGTAGACAATCGGGGAAATTTTACTACGGTCGATACATCAGTTAATATTGTATCAATTTTAATTTTTTGGTTTTCATAATTGTATTATGGTTGTTTGAGAGGTAAACATTTGGGGAAGCTGGGTGAAAGGTATATGGGAACTCTGTACTTTTTTACAACTTTTTTATAAGACAAATTATTTCACAGTAGAAAGTTTAAAAAAACTAAAAAGCACGTAGGTTTGAAAGGGCCACATTAATGGCCACAAACTTGAAATGAAAGGTCCACAAATGACTGCTGAGACTTACAGGGAATTTAGAAATCATTATTGGCTAACTCAGTGAGCTGCAGTCATCTGCAAGTAGTCTCTGCAAAAATAGCAAAAAGTGAAATTATGTTAAAATCCTGGAGGTAATAAATGATAAGGGAAATCTCTAGTTTTTCAGATAAATTATTCTATTTGAATAAATGCCACAAATCCTTTTTGTTTCATTCCATTATATTTGTGTCTATAGTGAAAGCATTTCAGCTTTGAAGAATATGTGTAGTTTTTAAAGTGAGTTTTTAAAGTGATCATGTATAGAAGAAGGTATTTTCTGAAACTGTGTCTTTGTTTTCAGGTAGGAAAAAATATGATGTAATTGTGATAGATCCACCATGGCAGAACAAATCAGTGAAAAGAAGTAACAGGTAAGTGGAAATAATTTATCTATTAGATATGCTACGAATTGACCCTCTTAATATTATGTAATGTCCTTCATTGTTTCTCATAACAATTTTTGTTTTAAACTCTATTTTGTCTGATATCAGTATATCCTCTCCGGTTCTCTTATAGTTACTGTTTGCATTCTTTATCTTTCCCCATTCTTTTACTTTCAACCTAATTGTGTCTTTGAATATAAAATTTATCTCTTGTCGACATTATTTACCTGGATTCTGTTTTTTTAATCCATTTTGCCAATCTTTT